TTGATTTTTTTTTAATTTGCTCTACTAATCTATGACACTTGATTAACAAGCTTACGTCATTTCCATTCAGGTTTAATACACATAGGTGATAATTTGATTCTGTCATATTAGCAATGGATTGTACATTGATTATTATTCTGTTATTATTTTACTGGGATGTTCTTCACATTTGTATTTGGTTTTGCTGGGTGCTACTCCTTTTCTCTGTGAAGAGAAAATCTTAATCATTTGTAGGTGAGGTTTGGAAGAGGCATATTCTTGTAAGTTTTATTTAATGTAGAAAAATTGTATTTCATTTTCAAAGACAAAGGAAAGCTTGCCTGGGTATGTTATCCTAGGCTGACAATTTTTTGTTTCTAGAATCTGGAATATGTTGCTCCATTCTCTTCTGGCCTGTGAGAGGTCCATGAGTTTACTTGTCACTCCTTTATAAGTGAGTTGATTTTTTTTTTTGTATTCACATTTAAGGATCTTCTTCTTATGTTCAAATGAAGAGAGCTTGTTTATCATGTGTCTTGAAGAATATCTCCTTTAGTCAAACATGTTGGAGTTCTCTGCCCCTTCTGGATATTGTTTCCCAATCTTTCCTCTAGACTAGGGAAATTTCCCCTTATTACATCATTAAATATATTTGTATGCCCACCTTCTATTTCTGTACCTTCTGATTCCTTTTCTCTTGTATTTGGTCTTTTAGTAGTGTCTTTCAATTCTTGAACAGTTTTCACTTATTTATTTATTTATTTAGTTAGTTAGTTAGTTAGTTATTTGCCTGATCCAGCTCTGCTTCCAGTTTTGTCGTTGTTCTTGTTTTTGATTATTTCGCCCTCATAAAAGGAAATATCTTTTAATTTTGACATTCTTTGTTCTGCCTCCTTCATTCTATATTGGTGACTCTCCACTATACTTTAAATTTGCTCCACACTATTCTTCATTTCTAAAAAAACAACTTTCATTTGTTTCATTTCTGTTAAATTACTTCAATGCCAGGTTTGCGTGCTTCTTGTCATGGATAGGACATTTTATAACGAGTTTTGAATTCTGTATACCCCATTTTCTTAATGTATTCCTCAGTTAACTATGAGGTGGAAGAAACTTGCTCCTTTGCAGGGAATCTTCAATAATATCCATCATGCCTTTGATCTTCCTTTGATCATTGTACTTCTGTTTTGCAGATTCTTCTCCTAGGGCCAGGATTCTAAGCTCTGTCACCCAAAAGTCTACAGTTCAGTTTTACAGTTCAATTTTGTAGTTTGCTGGAAGCCATTAACATTTGTAATATTGTAAATTACTATACCTGCAAAAAAATCAAGGATGTTACTGAGAATGAGGTTGTGGAAATGTGCCTGACCTACACTATTTCACACATTAGCCTGATTTTGCTATCCTCCAAATACATTGTTTTTGATTTTAAAAAAAAGAAAAAACAATAACAATTATTGCTTGATATATGATGTCTAAAATATCATTCATGAATCTGATGATCAAGAATGTCTTTCCAATGTTCTACTCCCCCAGGACACCAATTTGAATTTCCTCATGAGAATCCAGAAGTGTCCTCCTGTAAAAATGCTAGAGCCAGAGGATCTGATGCTGTCTTGTGCCAGAAGTCTTACCTTACTGATACCTGCTCCCACCAGCTAACCACGAAGAAAGAAAGAAAGAAAGAAAGAAAGAAAGAAAGAAAGAAAGAAAGAAAGAAAGAAAGAAAGAAAGAAAGAAAGAAAGAAAGAAAGAAAGAAAGAAAGAAAGAAAGAAAGAAAGAAATTTGAGTTTCAACACAACAGTGGGTACAAAGCCTGTGTAGGAACAAGGCTGGAGGGAGCAGCCTCCACTGCTTCCCTGCAGATTCACATACTAACATTGAGGTAGACCCATGACTTGTGGAGTGGGAAGGCAGTGTTGAAAAACCCAAGGCAGCTCTCAAGGGCACTGAGGGCGAGTTCATTTCCCTGCCTCAGCACTCAGCATGGAGCCCAGCAGGGATAGGCTGAGGGTGGTGGAGCAGCATCCTCAAATGTGTCTGGGACCTCTCACACACAGCTCTTAGCTCCCACAGCTGCCTGCTGCCACCATTGCCACAGTCCAGAATGCCCAGTGCACCAGCCTGGGGAGCCATACAGAGCAGCCTGGGTGCTAGCTTGCTACCTCTCCAGCCGACGGCATACATGTATCTCTATGGCTTCTTGTTTAAACTGCTTGGGTAAGACTCTCTTCCATTTGTTTGATTCCACAATGACAAAGTGTGCTGGAGACCATCTCCAGCTGACTTCAGAGCTTGCAAAGAATGCACGGATTAGCTAAAAGACAAGAAGAGTTGACAACTTGGACCACTACGACATGATGCTCCTATTGGACAACTCAAGAAACATCCCTTCATGATTTATACACAAAACATCATAAGCTTTTGCACAACATTCAATTGCTTCATTTTCACTTCATTATAAAAGAATGATTACAAAAATAATCCTAAAAACCATCATTATTATTTTGCTTCAGGGAAAATGTTTTCAGTAAGCTATTGCTCATTTAAGCCTGCAGACATCCGGCTGAAGCCAGGAACTCCACAGTGGGCAGCACATGTGGTTATGGAATAACAGGTGTTTTGCTTATATCCAAAATCAATTTTCACTAAACCTAAACTAATATTACTTAAATATCAAAAATACTAAATTAAAAAGAAAGCTCATAAATGAAAGGAATTTATAAGACATATATCACAAATTCTTTATTAACAATTTTAATCAGTCATATATCAATTACCATCAACTTACCTAGTACTGATTAACTTGTTTTTTTTTTTTTGTCTGTTTGTTTTGTTTGTTTTGTGAAACAGCAGTGAAAAGGATCAAGGCTACTAAGCCTGTTCATAGAAATGAACAGAAGGCTTTTACAAGAAACATCTTTTCATCTTTTTCAACTGTTTTCTTTCCCTTTATATAAGTGCAAATATAAGTTTCAAGTTTTAATCCACTCTTTGAAGTTTCACATTTGCACCATATACTGTCTACTTGCCATGGTGAGAAGCCAAAATGCGTCATTCATGTGTTGCAACAGTTGAAACCTGCAAATAAATAAACTTTCTGTACCTCGATTATTCCTTCTGTTCCAAGATAATAACAAGCCATTTCTTGAGGAACACAATCCTTATGTCAGGGCAAGCTCCAGGTCAGATTGGCACATATGGATGTTGGGGAACATCGTGGGCTCAATTGCATTATTGTATGCTTTTAGCTGAATATCATTGATTTCAGTTGCTAAAGACGCTTTCACCATAATCTGGTTGATCATTTTTTGCTGCTTTACCAGTTACAAGAATCATTTGAAATTTGCAGAAAAAACAATAACACCATCCTCAGGAGAATTCCATGAAATATCAGAGAGGTGATCGAGTATCCATATAATGGGGCGAGGCAGCAATGAGATGACCAGACACATTCTGCTGCATCTTGACATGTAGGCAAGAACCACTTGTAGCCTTGCTAACTGAAGAGCAATGCTCATTACACACCCATGTCATCTGACACAATTGCATGACTTCCCGCAACTGTGGGAACCAGCACAGTCTCACTACTGTTTATCTCCTAGGACTGCTATGAGGATTGATTAAGAAAGGTGTGAGATATTTTGTTAAGCCATGCAGTACTGTGGAGAGGCACAAGAGTTGTCTATCAGGAGAGAGACATTGCAGGAGGAGCTAGAACATGAGCAGTCGTGATAAAGCCCCACTTAGCCTTTGCTTAATAGCTTCAGAGAAGTGCAAGGAGGATAGAAAGGACATCCTATGCCTTCTCCCAGCCTTTGTCAGCTGAGGTATGGAAACCATCCATCCATTATACCTCCTACTGACTGGAAAGTGGTATGGTATGTTTTTTCTATCCCTTTAGTCCCAAAGAAGAAATACAGAGTTGTCTTTTCAAAACTCTGCATGGATTTTAGGCTACCTAAGGTGACATCTGCCATAACCTTGATGGCCAAGGTGGTAGAGATCCATATGGACATTTGGCCGGTTCTCTTGTGTTTTTACTTCACACCCATTCTTGGGATGCATAATCTTCCTGCTGATAGAAAACCAAAGTGAATGAAATCTAATTAGTCTACTGCTGGGCTCTGGGCGCACAGAACACAGCCTGAATTAATGTAGCCCAAAGGCAGCAATGTTTCCATCTGGTCCACACATCAGGAACTCTGTGGCAACAGAATCCTAGTGGATCACCCAAATGTCCAGTCATGGGGACTGAGGCCCTGATAGCTCCTCTTGCTGTGGCAATAATTCAGGAAGATGCAATGTTCCCAAGGGTCACTGAGAATGTTTATAAAGGGTCTAGCAATAGGACCTGACTCAACCAACTTGATGACACACACTGTGCTAGACACCCGAGGTAAAACAGAGACTAAGAACCATGGCATGGTTTTGAGACGCCTGTGATGTGGTGATGAAAGCACAGGTGGAGCTGATGGTGGTGCTGGAAAGCAATGAGGACAGTGACACAAATGAGTGTATGGGACTGATGACACCTGGAGGAGAGAGCGTTTGTTGTGTTAAAGGAGTTTGGTGAAGAATGATGCTACAATAGGGTTTCTGTGTGGTTTTGGATTTGAGGGAGGAATAGCAGAGGGTCTACTCCTATCTATTGGCAGAGGGTCATTCTCGTCAGAGGAAGCTTCATGAGTAAGATGTCTTGGTGTAGGTTGTTTGTGAATTTCAGATTATTTAAATGTGGGCAGCTGTAGAGACACTGGTAGTTTGAGGAGATTTGCTATTGTAGTTTCCCTTGTGTTTCTGATGTAACTAACAAATCAGTAGCAATGATTTTTTTAGAATTAATTTAACACAGAATATGAACCTAAGAGATAACCAAGGGGTGTCTAAGATTTTTTGCCAACTGCCAAATTGGAGTGATACCAGACAGCAAGCAGGGCAAAAGTAAATCTTCTACTCTTGCAGTTCCAGCCACACTAATTCCTCAGTACATAAATATTTCAGTCACCTGGACTGGATCACAGCTGACAGGGCAGGGCAGCTGTGCACACAGCCCAGCAAAGAGCAGCACACACTGCTGCAGGGAACACTCAGAGAAGAGAGCTGCAGCAGTGAGTGGCAATGGACCTGATGCCAGACTTTTCCTTAGGAACCTGGATTCTGGTGGCTACCAGCCTGGTGCTCCTGTATCTGTGAGTAGCTGTCCATCTGATTTCTCTTGTAGTCCTTCATCTGCAACGGAAATAAGGCTTGTATTGCATTTTCTATTTTGATGATCAGAGAGGAAGTTGTCTAAACGCTGAGAGAGCGATAGAAAGGTAATTACTGATTTCAGTGAGACAGCTACTGTATCCAGTTCCCCATCTCTGTTTGTAGGAATGCATAATGGCATCTGTTTCTGAGATAAGATGCTGTTTGACTCTCAGTTTGTCCCATGCTGTCTAGCTAGAATTCAATGCAGATAGGTTGTAAAAACATGGCTGCCAAGTGCAATGAGATCCTCAGTCAGGGCCTACACTCCAGAGATTCTGAGGGCAGAAGAGGTTTACTTGCACTGATTTGGAGTAGCTTTGCCTTTTGAGTCTGCATCAGTGCAGGAGGAATGTGGGAAATTATTCCCTGTGTGTTTGGTTGCCTCTTTTGTTTCTCCCTTCTGCTGCACAGGCATCCTAGACACCGAGCAGTCCACAGCCTTGGACTTCAGTGAAGGCTCTGAATCTGTTCTTCTGCTCCTAGGGCTCCCACCCAGAACTCCCCTACTCTCAGTCCTCTCCTATGAATCGAATCTTCAGCCTTGCGGTAGGTGAATGGTGATTTTCAGAGAAGGACATACATGCCAGTAACCCAACAAGTAGCTTTTCCTTTTCTCATAGTTTCTGTGAAATCGGCAATTAGTATAGAGATTTTTTTTCCCTTTATATTGCTCTTCAAGTAGCCTCAAGAAACCAGAACACCAACAAATCAAATCTGTACTTTCTTTTTCATTTTATCTTTTCCTTTTAATATTGTTCATCATTCAGAGAGATCCATCACCATTTAATAGATTTCTGCTTAGGGTGAGAGATTGAGATACGGAGGAATGTGTGCATGACATATGCTTCAAATTGTTTGTTTGTTTGTTTGTTTTGTCCTGAGTGTGCAGTGGAGTGAGCAGCAGGCTTTATTCCTTGATGTCAGACTTCCTCAGATGTTATAAATGGGGATCAGTCTCTTGATGATGCCTTCGAGAACCACATTTGGGAAGAATGTCTCAAGGAAGTTATTTCTGTAGTTTTGATACTTTTGAGAAATTGTTGCTTTCTTTACTCCAGTGGAAATTCATTCCAAGATCTGATGGTTGACAAGGTCCACCTATTCTATCCACAAACCTAGGAACATGTCGCAATGCTTGGCCAGAATTGTCCAACCCATTCTGTTCTCCAACCTCAGATGAGTCATTTGATATTCCCTACTGGCCTAGATCATCTTACTGTCATGGTCCAGGCATGCATCTGGACATGCTGTCACATGCATCAACAACTGAAGCAGCACAGTCCCAACACATGTTCCCCAAAGTTGCATCATATACCATGTAATTTTCCTTGAGACCTGCTTCTGAATCTAGTAGTTTCTTTGCAGTCCTCTAAGAAACCTCACTTGGAGTAACTCATTCTTGATTCTTGATTTTCAGTGCAGGTCAGATGTGCTATGTCACTTGTTGCAACCAACACATACACCAGTGCATGCAAATGCTTCATCAGTTCCCCCAAACACCCCAGCAAGGACAGCTCCCAGCCCTGGTTTTTGCCATCTTCTGCTGCAGCCTAGCCCTGCTCAGTCCACATCATATCTGGTTCTCAGGAACACTTGTTGGTGCTGTAGCTTAGCTCAGCCTGCCTCAATTAAACACAGCCCTGACTTGCTGCCAAGTGTCACCACTGCCTTGTCCAGCCTGGCCCACTTTCAGCTCTGGTTCTTGTGCTCACCAGCAATAGATATAGCCTAGCAGGTGAGTGGCCATAGTTCCTAAGCCAGGAATGCTCAGAGCACTGAATCATACGCCATCCAGAAGGTTCTGCAGTTCAGCCTAACACAACTCATAAAGAGTGCAGGCACATGTTAGCTTGTGTAGCAGTTCAATTTTGTCCAACCCAATTCCAGATGTGCTCACCCACAGTCCCAGTTCTCATACTCTCCAGCTGAGGCAGCAGGTAAGCAAGGGAGGCCCTGAATTTCCCCCACTGGACTTGCTCCCAGGCTTGGGAATTTTGTGTGCCACCAGGTGCTGTAGTCCAGTCTGAAATGGCATGCCTCAAATTTCAGCATTCACCAGCAAGTGCTGAAACCTGACTCAGGCCTGTCCTATCCCCAACCCAGGATCCCACTGACAGTGTAGCAACCTAGCCCATACCAAGCCTTCAAGAGAGCTGGCAGGTTTTGCAGTCCAACCCAACCGTGTTTGCACCCTGTCTTGCCTTTCACTTGTACCAGTGTGTGCTATAAACTAACAGCGCCTGGACCACACACTATCAAGGCTCACGTGTATGCCAATCTGTGCTTCAGCCCATCCTGTTCTAGCCTTTTCCAGCACACCAGCAGGATCTGTGCTCAGCAGGGGCGCTTACAATGTTAACCTACTAGGACTGCTCATAGATATAGTTCTTTCATATGTTGGTAGGTGTTGCTACCCAGATTGGCATGGTTAGACTCAGTCCTGGCTCTCACTGCTGAGTATTTTGGCATAACCCAAACTTTCATGAATCCCTTCTGGTCCATAGCAATGGGTATTACAGCCTAATTCATCCTGGTCCACCTCCAAACCACGCTTTCATGTGATGCAGCAGGCGCTGTAGCCTAGCTCTGCCTGACCCATACCCATTATGTCTCTCCTGATTACCAGTGACTGATGAAGTCTAGCCCAGTTTTGCCTGCCCAAACCCAGTCAGTACATGTTGATGGATGATGGGGCCTTGCACAGCATGGTCCACTCACAGCCATGGTTGTCATATTTACCACTGAAAGTTACAATCCAGATAACAGTTACCCTACAAGAACTGGATCTTCTTTGTTAGCTAAGATTGTGCTTGCTTCAATTCAGCCAGGCATGGCCCCTCCATATTCTCAGCTCCCACAGGCAGGTGTTGTAGCCAGCCCAGCTGGTGACCCATACTAAACTGGCTCCTATGTGTTGCAGCAGGTGCTGTGCCCTGGCCAAGCCTGACCTTTATCCAGTCATAGGCAGACACAAATGCTGGCAGATGCTGCAGTCTTACCTGGCCTGGCCTGCCCTCAGCCCTGACACTTGTGCTCCCAAGTGGGATCCGCAGTTGAAAAAGGGGCATTCCCTAAGTTCCACTGTCAGGATAGCTCCCAGCTCTAGATCTTATATGTGCCCTACATTCCATCATATGCTCTTAGTGCTGGTCCTTGCATGTACTGAGAAGTGTTGCAGGGTGGCATTTTGTGGCATCTCCCAGTCCCAGCTCCCACAAGAGTCATTTAGATTCCTTTCAAGTGAGTTATGTGGTCCAGCCTGGCCTGGCCCATTACTGCCCCCAAGCTGTAGGTGCTATAGACCCACAGAGGTGAGCCCATATGTTCCCTACAGAATCTAGCCCCAGATCTGATTTCCTTCCATTCTTTTGTGTTCTGTAGCTGAGCTAGATGCAGAGAAACTCCTTCTGCACTACAAGCAGATGGGCACTGTGACCTAGACTGGCCAGTCATATTCCCCAGCCACAGCTTTTGATAGTATCAGCAGGTGGTGGACCAAGCCCTTTAACCTAGCATGAATCTTCCATGTGTGTCAGTGTCTTGGCCTTATGTAGAAGTCCCCACTGTTTTTCCCACTCCTAAACCACTCTGTATTGGTTCCCTCACCTACCTGCAAGTTCAGTGTTCTGGAGGGTGGAAGACCCAGAAGTCATTCCTTCCTTATCAAAATGCACCTAGTCATTCCTCTTCTGCAGGCCAACCACAGTGCTGCCATATAGGGACCAGAGTGACGTATTCCTCCTGGGAATCCTCTGTATTCTTCACTAATCATGAAAAAAAATCAGAAACTTTCCTGGCATAGTGGTATAGGTAACACAGATTTGGCATGAACCAGGCCCAAATCTCTGCAAGCTACTTGTTTTTTTTTTCCTCAGCAGTGTAGCACTTGCCTAGGAACATGTACTCGGGATCCATTTTTAAGTGTTCCCCTACCTAGTCAGTTCTCACACAAGAGCATGAACCAAAACCGACTAGGAGATCCAAGAGAGGAATTGGATTTTTTGGTAAGATTCCTTGTCTCACCGAGCAGTTGAGGAACAGGGTTCATTTGGCTTAGGTATGGGAGAGACATCATTCAAGTCACATTTGATCTCTACTTCTATTATACCTCTGTGGGGATTGGTGAATCTTACTGAAACAAAAATAAAAGCTGCAAATCTTGACACTTGAAATAAGGTTTAGGAATTCTTGTGGTAAACACTTAACTTTCTGATGATATTAGAGTTTTGTTTTGTTTACATAATATTATTGTTTTTCCTATTTGTTTTGCTTTTGCTTTTTTTTTTTTTGAGAATAGGAAGCTAAGGATTCTCCAACCTACACTCTACTTTTATACTGTCCAGTGTGAACTTACTATTATTTTTAAGGGACTTATTTTTATACGGCAAAGCCAACAGTTTTAAGGAGGTGCAGGGCTTCCTAGCACCTACTTTTTCATTCCCAAATGGTTATGGTGACTGGTGCTGAGCTGTTTTGAAGCCTGGATCCGGGGGCTTCTTGTAGGTCTCCCATACTTATGCAGGTTGCCAGAACTTGAAAATCCTACACTTTTCCAACCCATATGCACAAAGGTGGATCTGAACTAGTAAAGCTTTACATGAACTGCTTCTCTATGGGATGCTGGCTCCAGAGGCTCATGATTAAGCTTCTGCTCAACTGTGCTGACTCCTGAACTTATGAATGACATAGTGTCTCCCTACAGAGGTGGTGGCAGAATAAATTATTTTGTCCATTTCACTTGAGAGGTTATGTGACAGATGAAAAGATTAGAGATTTATCATATGCATATATTCTATACATTTTATGTATAATAAAGAGGTTAATTATACATAAATAATGAAGGATTACAGAGAGAGTGAATCCAGAGAGAAAAAAGATTTTTCATCTGTTTGTTGATTCAACAAGTAGCCTCAACAGCTGGTCTGAAGCCATAAGCCAGAACGTTTCTTGAGTGTCCTATTTGTGTTGCAGGGGCCCAAGCACTTGCAAGACTTTGCTTTGCTTTCCCACACACATTATACTGAACTGGACTGGAAGTGGAGAAGCCGAGACTTGAACTAATGTTTTAATAGGATGCTGGCACTGCAACATAGCTTAAAAAAAGTAATTCCTTAGCCATTGTGGCAATAATAAAGCATGTAATGGAGTGGGAATAAGCAAAGCCCTTCAGCCCTGCAGAATTTGGCAGCTGGTGTCTTACTTTCAATACCTGTCCTATGGAGGGATCCCAAAGCCCTAATGCAATAGCTTGGGGTATCTGGCGATCAAATGCATGTGTGTTCACACAGTTTTTCAGTTTTATGAAATCCCATATGATCTACTGAGTTGACAGAGTATTGTTACCTTATCCTGCCCTAAAGACTAATATCTCAAGAGGTTATTAGATCACAACTCACAACATATAGAACATGTCATATGTATTGCATAATGCATGCAACTGTTATTGTGAAGAAGAAAGACTTGTTGCTGATAGAGTGGTTGTATATGTGAAAGCATTTGTAAAAATTATATACCTTGGTAACACTTGCTAAATTTAAAGGGCAGTGAAAGGAATCAAGTCAGCTCAGCCAATGTACAAACAGAGGGCCTTTATAAGAAATACTCTTTCATCGATATAAACTATTTTTTTCCCTAAATATAAGTGCCAGTGTAAGATTGTAATCTTATGCCATTTTGAGGGGGTTTACATCTATTTCCTTATAAAAGATGCCCCATATACTTTTGCTTTCTGTGGTAAAAAACTAAAATGTGTCATATCATGTGTTGTAACAGTTCAAGGTGCATGGTAAACAAACTTTTGGTACCTCCATGATTGCCATCTGTTTCAAGATATTATCAAACCATTTCTTAAGGAAAACATTACTTATACTAGGGCAAACTTCAGGATAAATGTTGGCACATAACAAGATGTTTGGAAACATTGTGGGCTCAATTGTACTATTGTATATTTTTAACTGTGTGTCATAGCCTTCCGTTACTAAAGGTGTTTTTTATCATGACATTATTGATCAATTTGAGGTGTCATAACAGTTACAGGAATCACTTCACATTAGCAGAAAAACAACAACAAAACCCTCGGAAGAATTCTGTGTAATATCAGAGAGGTGATTGAGTTCCATACAATGGGGAGAGGCAGCAATGAGGTGACTGGAAACATTCTGCTGGGCTTTGCCTTGCAGCCAGAAACTCCTCACAGCCTTGCTAACTGAGGAGCGGTGCTCATCACAGAGCCATGTCATCCAACCCAACCGCATGGCTCCCCACATATTATCCTGATCAATTAAAAGCCCCGACATAACATCAACAACAATTTATAACATTATGACATTATGGAGTTAATTGACATGGTATTGAGTGACCAATATGTTAAAAAATACAAGTTCTCAACCACATCCTGTAGTTAATATACAACCAGCTTTTATACACCTTTAAATGCCAATAGGGTACTATTCAGCTGTCTTGTGTCTATTTTCATTTTAGTATTTAGCAGTTTACAGTGTTGAAGCATTATTTTCCTGAACGTGGCAGTTTTTAGGGTAGTCAAAACTGGCTTATAACTCTAACAAAGCATATGTCAACATTTTAGGTGTAGTACAGTTTTAGGAGGGGTGTTTAATACCCTAGTGAGGAGTAACTGATCAGTTGTGTTCTACCTAGTAAGGCATATGTGAATCCATACAATAAATAAATATTAAGAAAAAGAAAAGAAAAGAAAATACTTACATTGCTGAAAATTGCTCACAATTTTTATGGCCAATGAAACCTGCGTGCACAACTTTAATTTTGTGGAAATGGGGATTGCAATAATTCATTTTGAGTAGTTTTCTCCCTGTTCATACCTTACATATAGGGCAGTATCCCCAAACATGAATTTCAAACAATAACATATGTTTCATATATAATATATATATTTGGTGTGAAGGCAAATTTAGGAAGAGCCATGCCATAAATAGAATATGGGTTATAGAAACAGAATGTAAAGTGTAAAATTGAAAGCGAACTGCAAGAATAATGACATCCGAGACTCTTAGTGACTCCCATATTTGTTGGAGGCACAAATGCAACAACTTGTACTCAGAGCAAAGAGAAATTATTTTCCCCAGTTTGCACCCAGAACAGGAATTCTCACTGTATTTATGAGTGAATGAAATAACTTGCGGGCATTCCAGCCTGAACCTCAGTACCACTGTCATTTGGGGGAGATTTTCAGGGACTCAGTCCAGGACGTTGAAGACTTCAGAGTCTTTATCAAGTAATTACGACTTCTTGGTGGAGTTGTTGTAATGAGGAAGTAGATAATGAGTTCTGCTGTTAATCATTTGGCTATGTGTTACCTCCCTAGCTTGTCTATTCTGGTATCTGAACAGGTGTCCACTAAAAATATCTATTACACCTGTGACATGATTCCTTCTTGATTTTACAGATATGGCACCTCTACACATGGCCTTTTTAAGAAGCTGGGCATTCCTGGGCCAACACCTCTACCTTTCCTGGGGACAATCATGGGTTACCGCAAGGTGAGTGTCATTTGAACTGTTGTTTTTCTTCACATATTGTGGTTTATGAAACGAAGTTCTCCACAGGGGACAAGTTTTAATTTACTAACTTTCTGACGGATGTGTGGATCACTTACAGGTGATGGAGAAATTTAGTCTGGGTTCAAAATCCTCATATTTGCCTCAATAAAAGAGGGCATTTTGGCTCTGGTGTGGTGGCCAAGCAGCTAAAGTCCTTACCTCAAATGCTGCATCATCACATATGGGCTCTGGTTCTAATCCCGGGTGCCCTGCTTCCCATCTAACTCTGTTTGTGGCTGGGAAAGCAGTTGAGGATTGTCCAAAGCTTTGGGACCCTGTATCCACATAGGAGACCTAGAAGATTTTGTGGCTCATGGTTTTGGTTCAGCAAAGATCTGGTCATTGTGGTCACTTGGGGAGTGAATCATCAGACACAAGATTTTCATCTCTGACTCTCTTCCTATCTATCTATCTATATATCTATCTATCTATCTATTTGACTTTGCAATAAATATAAATAAAAATTAAAAAGGAGATGTCTGTGTTTCATCAACACTCAGTGTTCAGCTGTGACTTGATATTTACACTGTGTGAACATTATGAAGAGAACGTTGAATTTGCTTTGGGACTTTCTCAGGAACATAAAACCAAGTTTGCTATTTGCACAATGCAGCATGTGGACCCCATGTTGACTCATGAAGCTCTGTGTTCTAGACTCCAGTTTCCCTGATTGTAGCAAAGAACATAATAATGTTTGGTTTCTTCTCAATGCATAGCTTTAAAACTTTAGTTTATTAGGCACATAGCTTTTTACAACCAGAATATTGGACAGATGTTATGTATTTAATTGTTACCAAGTAGTTCTGTGATAGAAGAGACAGCTTTGATGTGCTGTGTACTCTGCAAATACCTTCAATATCCATGAATAAACTGGGTCAGAAGCTCAGAAGTTCGATCGAATCCATGTCTTCTGAGTAGAATGGAGGTACCTTGATAGTTGAACGAACCCTCATGTAGGCAAGGATATGTAACAGTGGATGTTTAAAGTGAGGAAGCAGGCTCGGATATGAGACACAGATACACAAATCTAAGATAGAGGTGACTTAGCTACTATGCTGGAATGCACGTCCATATGCAGTTATTATAATATCCTGTGTCGGGACACAACTAGGTAGCCTAGCAGTTAAAGAACTTACCTTGTAGAGCAGGAATCCCATATGGGCACTAGTTCTAATCTTGATGGCCCTGCTTCCCATCCAACTCCCTGCTCGCGGCCTGCAAAAGCAGTAAAAGATGGTACAAATCTTTGGGACCCTGCACCCATGCAGGAGACCCAGAAGAGGAACTTGGCTTCTGCCTTTGCACTGGCTCAGCTTAGGCCAATCCGGTCACTTAGAGAATCAATCATTGGATGGAAGTTCTTTCTCTCTGTGTATCTGATTTTGTAATAAGAATAAATATACGTTTTTTAAAAATAATAATATGCTGGGTTCTGTGTGTATAAAGGTGATATCTGTTCCTCTTGTCCATATTCTGCTCCTAAACTGGAAGGTGAGTTCACATGCATACTTTCACCAATGCACATTCTTACTCAAAGACATTCCCAAGAGTGACCTACATTTTTGAAAACAACAGAGATTAACTGGTGTCTTTACCTTCTTAACTCTGTCAGAAGTCTAGAAATTTCATGAGATCTAGAGAAGTGAGTGGATGGATCCTTGGGACCTCACAGCTTTCCCCAAGCCTCAGTTTCCTCAAGTGCTTATGGAGGAAAATATTTGCTGGTTTAAGAGATTTATGGAGAACATAGAGGCCCAGGAAAATTCTTCACAGTGATGAAGGTTACATCTTATCTGTAGACAAGGTTAAGCCACCGGGTTTCCACAATAATCAGGGAAACTCAAGATTGCCTTAGATTTCTGCACTTCCAATGTCTTCTCTCTTTTTCTCCCAGGTGTCAGCAAATTTTGAAATTCTGGATAATTAAAGTATAATACAGTTAAGCTAGTTGTAATTGCATTTTATTCAGTTTGGTTCTAATGGAGATCAGATTTACTCTGTTTACAATAATAATCACATTTCATTTCACTTGCCTTCACAGGGTGTGTGGCATTTCGACATGGAATGCTATAAAAAATATGGAAATATGTGGGGGTGAGTATTTGGAAAACTTCCTCATTCTGGTGAGGTACTCACGTATAAGGGACAACCTTGGCTCAGAGCCTTTTGATATAAGCTTGTCCAGGGTAAAGTTGTAAAGGCTTGTTCTACCAAGGACTGCATACAGCCCAGGTGTCAGTTTCTGCATTTGGTGTCCAGCTGCTGCACTTCTGATCCAATTCTCTCCTGACTGCTTTGGAAAACAGTGGAGAGTGGCTCAACAACTGGGGCCCTGAAGCACATGGGAAACTAGAAAGAAGCTCCTGTTCACATATTTGCTTCAGCTGAATTCTGGCATTGATGGACAATTAAGGGGTGAAACAGAAGATTGAAAATTTTCCTTTTGCATCATTCCATCTCTGTAAAATATACCTTCAAAAAAATGAATGAGTGAATTGAATTCTTTAGGAAAGAGAGAACAATTGAGAGGTACAAGTAAATATGTTGTATATACACATCATATCTATGCAATATATATGCATATATGTATGTATTAGTCTCTGTAACTGTATGATTTTTTTTTTAGTATTTAAAAAATTTAAACCAATGCTTTCAGTAAAGATAAGCATACAAATTTCTTTGCTTTCTTCTCCTGAATCTAGAGAGTAAACATAGGATTATTTAAACTAGTTGGGCCTCTCTTGGGTTGATATACATGATGACATACAGGGCACACTTTTTATTTTCAGCATTCATCAAGAGGTATAACTGATAGGCTTGGAATCTATGTGCAAATGAGAGAAGACTTTGCCTCTTCCTATTTTTTTGTTTCATTTTCAGGTCTTGTCTCATCAAACTCTTAGAGCTGGTCCAAAGGGCTTCTGAGGTGACATGGCCCACAAAAATGTTCTGATAACATGCAGCACTAGACTTCTTTTCACTCAATCCTAAATTCCCCTTGCAGGATTTAGTATTTGTCAGTCTTAGATGATTCACTTGCCTTTGTGTTTTACTTGTGTAATATCATTTTTAAAAAATTGAGAGACACACAGAGAGAGATGAGTATCTCTGCCATTTGTTATTTCATGCCACCAATGCCAAGGAATGCTAGGGTTTGTCTGGTTGCAGATAATGGGTGGTAGGTGGGAGGAGCCAGGAACATATTCCAGATCTCCCATGAGGGTGACAGGAAGCAACCACCTGTGTGATCACCTTTTGCACCTCAGTGTCTTCTCATGCATCTTATGGAATCTAGGGTTGGAGCTTCAATTTGAACTCAGCCAATGCAGTTTAGGATGTGGTGACTGACTGCCATCATCACTAGTAGGGAAATGCTCACTGCCATATTTGACTTAATGTTGTTGCAAATTTTCTGTTTTTCTTCCTGTTCTTAACCTTGTTTTATGGATTTCATTTAAAGGTATATATAGTAGCTGTGTAAGGAGACTATCATATCCAGACATGAAGACACAATGTACTATGCATCTCAAGTTCAAAATCAAAGATGCACTCACAATGAAAGTGTTACTTATAACAATAGGATGCTGTACTGTCTGTTACTATCTATATACATAATAGCAGGTTATTGAAATAGCAGCATGTTGGACCTGTGACTGTTTATGAAGGACTTTACCACGGTAATAGAGTGGAAGGGTAATCTAAGCATTTATGGAACTGTATCATAAAATGACAAAAAGGGAAATTGAAAAAATAATGAAATACATGATATTACCAAAGGGTTTCTTGAAATTGTGTATGATGAACAAACTATGCATAAGTTGAAACTTTACCTCAAATTCAGCTTATCTTTTACTTAGTGAAATTTGAAATTCTCTTATCTTTTAAATTCTTTGAACCTAGATCTAAGACATGCTCTAAAGTTCTTCCAAAATAGTTATTGATTTTGTTTTCATAATCATAATGGCAAACAGAGACACAGAAAGGGATATTTTCCTTCTGGGGGTGGAGTTCCTGTGTGGCTAAATAGCTTGTATGAGAACAAGGAAGGCCAGGAGCCAAGAGGCTTATTCAATCTTCAACATGGGTGTCAGGGCCACAAACACATAGGCCATCTTCTGCTGCTTTCCCAGGCTGCTACGTAGGAGCTGATTCTAGTGTTGAGCAGCCTTTCCGATGAGATTTTCAATTGCTATGCCACCATGGCAGCAATCTAGTTATTATTTCTAGATGTGTGGTTTTCATGATGAGCTATTTTGTTTCTAAATTTATTTTCCTTTTCTTGGGTGATCTTGCCTTTATGATGACTAGTGTGTCTGCTGTGGTTGGAATCTTATTTACATCCTACTCTAACTTGAACCAAAAAGGGATGTTGCACTGTGTTATACAAAGGGAGTATGAGAAACATGACACTAGTGTCGTTCCTGGGCTTGGCTGTGGCTATTGCATTAGGCTTGCTGTGTTTAATCATTTCTGTTTTCCCATAATAGATTGTACGATGGTCAACAGCCTGTGCTGGTCACCACTGATCCAGACCTGCTGAAAACAGTGCTACTGAAAGAATGTTACTCCAACTTCACAAACCGACGAGTAGGCATGCCTTATTATTCAAGTTTAAGTATTAATTGTTAAGTTTCTATTCTAAAATAACATAGTACCAAACTTATCAGGGAAGTTTCATTTTGTTTTTCATTTCATTTTGTAATTAGTGTATTTCTCCAGTAGCAAGTAGAGAACAAACAGTATTCAGATCAGATTTCATGTTTCATCCGCCTCACTCTCTTCCTCTGTGTGTGTGTGTGTGTGTGTAGCTAACTACATGGAGCAGATATGTAGATTTGTGTAACTAGCAGCACAAACTAGATGAGAATTCTTTCATTACAGAGACTCCCTCTTACTATTTTGTTGGGGACACAACATGTATCTCATACAGTACTTTTAACAGATTCCTTATAGGAATTTTTACTTTTATATTTAGTTTTTGAATAATGTTCCCTTTATTTTTTCAAAGTTGAATGAAAATATTTATTTAAATTTTTAACTTTTTTAAACTTTTATTAATGAGGTTTATTTGGCGCTAGTGTCTCTCTTCCCTCTCCTCCAAGTTCTCTCCCCTTCCTCTTTATCCCCTGCAGTTTCCCAATGTCTCTCTTCCAAGAATTTTCCCAAGTCCATTATGATGCCACTGGAGTGTCTCCCAACCATGCAGGAGACAATGTCCCTCCAATCACTACTATTTCTACTGCCCATAAATAACAAAGATCTAGTTCTACTGTGCCTTCATAAGGACCTTGGTATACAAGAATGAACTCACAACAAAATGCCTGACAGTCTCATGCATGCCTTTTCTTCATTGTGCTTTTGATATCAAATCTAAAATTTATTTGCCTAGCACTTCTGTTTTGTTTTGGTTTCTTTTTTTTTTTTTTGCATTATTTTTATTTTTATTGTTATTTTATTATTATTATTATTATTATTATTTTATTACATTGCATCATGAGACACAGTTTTACAGGCACTGGGATTCCCCCCTCCCCTCCCCAAAACCCGCTCCCCCCCCCATGGTGGATTCTTCCATCTTGTTTAGAGCCTTACAATTTTACAATTCTTTGATGTAGATCAGAAGCAGTCTACTCATATTGATTATTGATTCCTTGATTACTTCACAATATCTTATTGCATGAGATACAGGTTGTTTGGGGTTGAAATAATATTACTGTTTCAGATTGACATCAATTCATAACAACCACATCAACAATAATACCAACAACATCGACAACAAAGTATATCACCCTGAAAAAAAGTAACACCACTGAATAGCCAACACATGCATGACAAAAAAGAAACACAGAAGTCTCTCGGGAAAAATGGTGCCATCATATACTTCATAAGCACATGATGAATTCTACTAGAGAATAGAGATTATTTGGAAGCAACCAAACTGAAGTAAAAACATCAAAAAACCAGCATAGATTGGACTGTTGGAGTTAACCTTTCCATGTTGGCTTCCTTATATGAGAGAGAATATATGGTATTTGTTCTTTTGTGATTGACTCATTTCACTCAGCATAATGGTTTCTAGTTGGGACCACCTGGTTGTAAATAGAATAATTTTGTTTTTCTTAATAGCTGCATAATATTCCATGGAGTAGATATACCACAGTTTCTTTAACCACTCTTCCTTGGACGCACATCTGGTTTGCTTCCACGTCTTTGCAATTGTAGATTGTGCTGCTATAAATATAGAATTACAGATCCCCTTCTCACAGGCAGATTTCACTCCTTTTGGGAATATTCCTAGGAGTGGGATACTGGGTCATATGGCAGGTTTATTTGCAATTTTCCCAGCACTCTCCATACTAATTTCCATAGTGGTTGTACTAGCCTACACTCCCACCAGCAGTGAAGGAGGGTACCTTACTCCCCACATCCACGCCAGCAGGTGTTGTTATTCGAGTTCTGGGTGTAGGCCAGCCTCACTGGAGTTAGGTGGTACCTCAACGTGTTTTTCATTTGTATCTCTCTGATGGCTAGGGAGCCTGAGCATCTTTTCATATGCCTGTTAGCCATTTGAACCTGTTCTTCTGAGAAATGTCTGTTCATTTCTTTTGCCCATTTTGTTACAGGGTTGTTGTTTTTGCTGTCCCTGGGTTTCTGAAGCTCTTTGTAGATCTTGGATATTAGTCCCCTATCACTTGTGTAGTATGCAAAAATTTTCTCCCATTCTGTTGGTTGCTTCTTCACTTTATTAATTGTTTCCTTTGCTGTACAGAAGCTTTTTAGTTTGATGTAGTCCCATTTGTTCATTTTGGATTTAATTGCCTTTGCTTTGGGTGTCTTTTCTAAGAAGTCTTTCCCTGTTCCAATATCTTGGAGTGTGTTTCCTATATTTTCCTTTAATATTTTGATGGTTTCTGCGTGTAAATTTAGGTCCTTGAGCCAGTTAGAGCTGATTTTTGTATAATGCGACAGGTGTGGGTCTTGCTTCTTTATTCTGCAAGCTGCTATCCAGTTGTCACAACAGCATTTGTTGAATAAACCAGGTATTTTACCTGGATTGTTTTCCGTTTTCTTGTCAAAGATTAGGTGAGTATACATGTGTGGATTTCCTTCTGGTGTTTCTATTCTGTTCCACTGATCTTCTTCTCTGTTTCTGTACCAGTACCAGACTGTTTTGATAACCACTGCTCTGTAGTATGTCTTGAGGTCTGGAATTGTAATTCCTCCAGTTTGATTTCTATTTTTCAGGATAGCTTTAGCTATTCGTGGTCTTTTGTGATTCCAAATGAACTTTTGTATCATCTTTTCTATTTCCGAGAAGAATGTTGTTGGGATTTTGATTGGGATTGCATTGAATCTGTATATTGCTTTTGGTAATATGGTCATTTTGATAATGTTGATCCTGCCAATCCAAGAACATGGTAATGTTCTCCATTTTTCAAGGTCTGCTTCTATTTCCTTCCTAAATGATTTATAGTTTTCATCATAGAGGTCTTTCACATCTTTAGTTAGCTTAATTCCTAGGTATTTAAGATTCCTCTCCTCTATTTTAAAGGGGACAGTACTTACAATTTCCTGCTCAGCCGTGGAATTATTTGCGTACACTAGCGCCATCGATTTGTGTTCATTAATTTTGTATCCTGCCACTCTGCCAAAGTCTCTTATGAGTTCCAATAGTCTCTTGACTGAGTCTTTTGGCTCCCCTATGTAGAGAATCATGTCATCTGCGAATAGTGATAATTTCAATTCTTCATTTCCAATTTCTATACCTTTAATTGCTTTGTCTTGCCTAATAGCTCTGGCTAGGACTTCCAAAACTATATTGAAGAGTAGCGGTGACAGTGGACATCCCTGTCTAGTTCCAGAATTTAGCGGAAAAGCTTCCAATCTTTCCCCATTTAGTATGATGCTGGCATTGGGTTTCTCGTAAATTGCTTCGATTATGTTGTAGAATGTTCCTTCTATGCCTATCTTGCTTAGGGTTTTTAACATGAAGTGGTGTTGGATTTTATCAAATTCCTTCTCTGCATCTATAGAGAGGATCATATGGTTTTTATTTTTCAATTTGTTGATGTGGTGTATCACATTTATTGTTTTGCGAATGTTGAACCATCCCTGCATGCCTGGGATGAATCCCACCTGGTCCGGGTGAATGATCTGCCTGATGTGTTGTTGGATCCTATTGGCTAGTATTTTATTAAGGATCTTTGCATCTATGTTCATCAAGGATATTGGTCTGTAGTTCTCTTTTTCTGTTGTTTCTCTCTCTGGCTTTGGTATTAAGGTGATATTAGCTTCATAGAAAGAGCTTGGGAGGATTGCCTCTTTTTCTATTGCTTGAAAAAGCTTGTGTAAGATTGGGGTAAGTTCCTCTTGAAATGTTTGGTAGAATTCAGCTGTGAAGCCATCTGGTCCAGGACTTTTCTTGGTTGGGAGGGCTTTAATTACTGATTCAATCTCAGTGCATGTTATTGGGCTGTTTAGATTGTTAATTGCTTCTTGATTCAATTTTGCTGGATTGTATGTGTTCAAGAATCTATCCATCTCCTCTAGGTTTTCTGATTTGTTTGCATATAGTTGCTTGTAATAGGTCCTGATGATTCTTTGTATTTCTGAGGTATCTGTTGTTATATCTCCTTTCTCATCTCTGATACTATTGATGCATATTTTCTCCCTCCTTTTTTTGATTAGTTGAGCTAGTGGAGAGTCTATTTTGTTGATTTTCTCAAAGAACCAGCTTTTTGATTGATTGATCTTATGTATAGTTCTCTTGGTCTCTATTTGGTTTATTTCCTCCCGTATTTTGACAATTTTGTTTTTCCTACTAATCTTGGGACTCCTTTGTTGTTGAGTTTCTAGTTCTTTCAGTTGTAAGGTTAGCTGATTTACTTGGTGCTTTTCTAGTTTCTTGACATAAGCACTGATTGAAATGAACTTTCCCCTCAGCACTGCCTTGATTGTGTCCCATAAGTTTTGATAAGTTGTGTCGATGCCTTCATTTGTTTCAAGCAATTTTTTAATTTCTCCTCTGATTTCCTCTCTAACCCATTGCTCATTTAGTAACATATTATTCAGTCTCCACATGTTTGTAATTCTTCCTTGGTGTTTCGACTGCTTGGTCTCAAGTTTCACTCCTTGGTGGTCTGAGAAGATGCATGGTATGATTTCAACTTTTTTAAATTTGCTGAGGCTTGTTTTATGGCCTATAGCATGATCAATTCTGGAGAAAGTTCCATGCACTGATGAAAAAAATGTGTATTCTCTGTCTGTAGGATGAAAGGTTCAATAGATGTCAACTAAATCCATTTGCTCTAGAGTTTGGGTGAGTTCTATTGTTTCTTTGCTGAGTTTCTGGCTTTTTGATCTGTCCATTTGTGTTAATGGGGTATTCAGGTCTCCCACTATGATCGTATTGGAGTTTATTTCTCCCTTTAAGTCCGTTAATATTTGTTTCATGTAGCTAGATGCTTTGGCATTTGGAGCGTAAACATTTAGTATGCTGATCTCTTCTTGCTGCATGCATCCTTTGATCATTATGTGGTATCCTTCTTCATCTCTTTTGACGCTCTTTACGTCAAAGTCCATGTCATCTGATATAAGAATGGCTACACCTGCTCGTCTTTCCTTACCATTTGCTTGGAATATCTTTTTCCATCCTTTCACTTTCAATTTTTTCTGATCTTTGTTGGTGAGATGTGTCTCCTGTAAGCAGCAGATAGTAGGGTTTTGTTTTTTGATCCAGTCCTCCAATCTATGGCGTTTGACTGATGAGTTTAAGCCATTTACATTCAGAGTTATTATGGATAAGGGGCAGTTTGGTCCTGTCATTATGGCGACGTGTTGTTCTATAATTGAGTCATTTGTTAGCCTTTTAGTGGGATGTTCTCCACATTTGCCTCTGTTTCTGGTGGTTGTTATTTCTTTTTTCTTTCATGGGAACATCCTTGAATATCATTTGTAAGGCAGGTTTAGATGAGGCAAAATCTTGAAATTTTTCTTTACTGTGGAAGAATTTTATTTCATTTTCAAAGACAAAGGAGAGCTTTGCAGGGTAAGTTATTCTGGGCTGAAGATTTTTCTCTTTTAGGATCTGGAATACGTCACTCCATTCTCTTCTGGCCTGTAGTGTTTCCTCTGAAAGGTCAGCTGTGAGTTTGATTGGAGCTCCCCTATAGGACACTTGATTTTTTTCCCGTGCCCATTTAAGGATTTTTTCTTTTTGTTCAACTGAAGAGAACTTGATTATCATGTGTCGCGGTGAAGTTCAGTTTTGGTCAACTCTATTTGGAGTTCTGTATCCCTCCTGTATATAATTTTCCAATTCTTTGCTCAGATTAGGGAAGTTTTCCTTTATTATTTCACTGAATACTCCTCTAATGCCAACTTCTCTTTCTGCACCCTCTGGAACTCCCATAACTCTTATGTTGGACCTTTTAATCATATCTTTTAATTCTTGGATACTTTTTTTAGCTTGACCTAGCTCTGCTTCCAGCTTTTTGCTTGTTGCTTCATGGTGACAGGAAATATCTTCTAATTCTAATATTCTTTCTTCTGCTTCATTCATTCTGTTGTTGAGACTCTCCACTGTATTTTTAATTTGCTCTACTGTGTTCTTAATTGCTGATATATCAGCCTTAATTTGATGTATTACTGCTATTTCTTCTTTGAACTCTTGTTTGTACTTCTCATTGTAGACCATCAGCTTTGCAACGAGTTTTCTGAGTTCTTTGTCTCCCATTTTCTCAATGTCTTCCTCAGTTAACTCTGAGAGTGGGCGGAGCTTTTTCTCTTTTGTTGGAGAGTCTTCAGTAACATTCACAGTACTTTTGTCTTGTCTTTTACCTTTTGTAGTTGCCGCTCTGTTTGACGAAATCATCTCTATGGTATATTACCTACAGGTCTATAAGTTGATTTTTATGTTCAATCAGTGCCCCGGATTTGGGAAACACAGCTGTCCTGACAATTGCTTTGTCTGTGGTACTGATTTTGTAGGCAGCACTGAGCTTGTCACCCGCTGCTGGCCGATAAGTCAGAGTACCTCCTGGGGGTATTTTGGGTGGAGTTGGCGGCGTGCCTTGTATGGGCTGTTTTCTCTGCGGCTGTGCAGTGCTCTAAGATGGTGGTATTTTTGTCCCCAGGTCAGTACTTGGGTGACTCAGCTGTTCTCCCTTCAGTGTAACACTGTCTGGTCCCGTGACACTGTTATCTGAGAGCTGCTGAATTAGCACATGCGCAGATTGCCACTCCTCCTCTTGCAGCTTATCAGTGTTTGGAGCACTTGCCACAGTGTCCAAGATGGCGCCCGTAGGGGCACCAGCAAAGGTCGGGAGGTGGGGGGGCTGTCCGCCGTCAGCTCCAGGGACCACACCAACCCTGCAGGGAGCGAAGCTGGCGTTTCCCTCCCCACGTAGATCAGTCCCGGGTAAACAGCCAGAAAGGAGCCGCTGTGCGGCTCTGTCAACTCCCCGTTCCGTCTCTCCGCACAAGATGGCGCCCTGAGTCCCCTGCTCCCTCCGCCTATTGCTGGTTCCAGTCACTCAGCTTGATTGTCAGCGCCCAGACTATATTAACTTTCCTATTCCCCACGCGGACCCAGGCTCTCACCTGGCAGTCACAAGAGTTGTGTGGAGGCCGCTGCTGGATGTTTGGCTGGCGCTGGAAACGGATCGCTAGAGCCTGGATCACTGGGATCTGAGTTGCTACTCGCCAACTGCTGGCGGGTTCTTCGGTCCACTACAACACTGCTGTCTCATTTCCGCAGCTTCCCTGTGTCCAGGGGAGTTCCAGGTGCCCCCTGCTTACTGCCTGAGCCCTATTTTTTCCCTGAAATCTACTTATTGTACCTCTCCTTGCCTAAAGACTCTCCATTCCACCAAACACGTCTGCACTCTATGCCGCCATCTTAAAAAGTCTCTTTTTTTTTTTTTACAATTTTATAGCTAAGCTTTATGCATAGAATCCATATTGTCCTAATATTTATGTCAGGTTTGAGATTCTGAACCGTGTTAATTTTGGACTATGTGCTACCCAATTGTTTCAACATTCCTTCACTCACTTCCTTGAATTGCTTTATCGCCTTTGAAAATCAGTTAGGAGTGATTGTGTGGGTCTAGGTTTCATCATCTGTTCTGTTGTACTGATCACTCTGTCTAATCCTCCAATAATACCATAGTGTCTTGGTTATGGTAGCCTTATAATAACCCTTAACAGGTAGAGAGAATTCTCCCACCTTATTTTTCAGAACTGGCTTAGCTGTTCTTGGTCTCTTGTCATTCCATACAAAGTTAGGATAGTTCATTTTTATCTACAACAACCCACAGATGAACTGTGTTAGAGTCTGTGTCCTGAGAGTTGTGAGTCTGTCAGTCTATGACCATAGCATGCCTCTCCCCTGTGTTAGGTTTCTTGGATTCCTTCCATTAACATATTTCTATCAGTATATAGATAGATCGAGAATCTAGTATCTATCTATCTATCTTTCTATCTATACATCTATCTCTATATATATCTATATCCTCATCTATATCTATATATGTATCTGGTGAACTTTCTATTTCAATTGTTTACATTCATCAGAAGTGACTGCAATTGTATTTGTATGATGGCTTCACAAGTTTTCACATTAAGGTGATTTCTGTGCATTGGTCTTGTGTTCTGGCTGATGGGAATGGGAAATATTGAGTTTCCCCATTACATTGTGTACTGACTGAAAATCTTTTCTTCTGGTCTTTTTTATATAACAGTATGCTTTTTTTCTTCATTGAGTTGAGGAAAATTGCCTGAATTTCTGTATTTTAGGTTTTTTTTATGCATAAGTATTGGAAATGTTCATTTTCAAACAAAGTATAGCTTTACAAGTTGGAAAAATGCTTCCTAGATGTTTGAATTGCTAGGCCAGTCTGAGGATGGTCAATATAACGAAGTATGGATGTGCCACTGTATCAGATGCTGAATCTTATTATGACACAGTGTTATGATGCCTGCCATTCAACATCCTTCTCTACTTCCTGTTGCAGTGCTTCAAAGCCTCCTTTTTGTTCAGAATGTGTTATAAAAATTGTACACATGAGAGAAACATTTGGGGTTTGCTTTTCTGTGTAATTTTTATTGGTTTTAATATAATAATAAGCTTCCATTCCATCCATTGTGCTGTAAATAACAGGATTTCAGTGTTAAGTTCTATGTTAGATACCATGATTTCATGGTTGAGGGGGTGAATAAATATCTCGAAGTATAATATCTAAACCTAAATGAAATGCATTTTTACATTGTAAGGAATGTTCTTTTATCAGTTGTTGTTATTCGTGTGCATGTTTTTGTGTTTAGAGTAGGGCAGAGTGCAAAACAAAATTGTTTCAAAGAAACATACAGGATATTTTGGTCATCTGGATGTGCATCAGCAATTGATTTCTGTTCTGCTCTTTGTTAGAGGATGTTTCTAGTTCTGTTTAGTCTCCTGGAATGACAGATTCTCTGATATATGGCTAATTGATTTTTATGGGGAAATGGAAAATAAATGCCTCAGACCACAGCACATCTATTCTCTTATGAGGCTAGGCATTTAGAATAATATTTATTGAGCACATAATCTTAGCATACAAACTGGTAGACTTCTACTAAATACTTGGAAATGCCTGATTTGTGTGTAATAAGCATTTACAACAGTGATGATCTTCAGAACTTATGCTGGGCAAAATGTCTTTATTTATTCGAATTTTAGTCTTTTGGACCAATAGGATTTATGAAAAAATCCGTCACCAATTCTGAGGATGAAGAATGGAAGAGAATGAGAATACTCTTGTCTCCAACCTTCAGTAGTGGAAAAATCAAGGAGGTAATAAATTAGACCTTATTGAGTCTGGGAAAAAAAACTGGAAATACAACCATAGTCCACTGGAAGCAGAAAGTTTATTGGCACCAATGTTTCTTAAACTGATCTTTTGTCTTTAAAATCTAGAAGAGAATTGCATTCATTAAAAATGTTGGTGAGCTACCTCTGTTTTGGTAGTCCAATCATTTTGACTTGAATATTTACTTTTAACTGTGGATTAAGTGGTATATATAGGGAGTCCTTTTGTCATTCCTGCTTCATTAGAAAACTACTTCCTTATGTGACCTGGATCTCTGCATCTCACTGTGGCTGGTGTGTGTGTACATTTAGATGTTACCCATCATTGTCCATTATGGAGATGTGTTGGTGAAAAACTTGAATCAGGAAGCAGAGAAAGGCAAGCCTGTCAATTTGAACAAGTAAGTAAGAATGTATTTGTGGAGTTCTGGGCTGTTTCGGTACATGGCATGGAGTTGAAATTTCCCTTCTAGAATCCCTAAAGTGAGCATACAAAAAGGTGTATGTTGTCTTACAACTCCAATGATTCCACCAGAAAGGGTCACATACAACACAAAGGAAGTTGTGGACAGACTGGGTTTTCTTGCAGTAGAGCACATAATACAGTTTTGGCTTGGCTGTCACTTTGGCTATTTCAGAGACAAAATTCATGCGTAGAAAGAAGGAACATGATTTTGTTTTGTTTTGATTTTTGTTTTGTTTTGTTCTGTTTTGAGATGATATGGAATTGGGATTGCGAACTAAGGAAAGAATTTGGTACAAATCAGGAAGCAGGGTCTATGCCAGGAGAGTTCCAGTATGTGTAGGAAGAACCAAAATTTCTTCATGGAATTGCTGATTATATTACTAAAATGCTAAATATTGAAGTATATCTTTTACTTCAAATTTCTTTTCCTATTTATTTATTTATTTATTTTTAACAATCTTTACATAGTTAATTTGGGTAAAAATGTTCAAGGGCTACAGGAAAGCGCATGAGATTATTCTTTCCATATTGTTTTCTTTCTGTATCTGAGGTAAAGTGGAATATTGAGGGAGAAGACCCACCCAGTTTCCCACCCACCCCAGTCCCGCATGAGGGCATGCTCTGAGATATTCGTGCAAGTGGTTTCAATAGTTCACCAGTTATGAATCTCTGCCTATCTCGCCTCTCCAACCACAATGAGGTCGTTGAAACATCCACTGATTGACATTGTTCATCATAGCATCTCTATTTGCCCAGTATTTTGTTGCCAAGCTATAGCAGAGGTGGTTGATTAACTTGTTCTATCTTCTGTCCTTTCATGGTTAGGGTTCTGAGTCGGGCTTTGCAATTGGGGAGATCCCCAAAGAAACCTTGTCTGAGGGGTTCCCAGGCCAGATTCTTATATGCACCAGCAAGTACAGGGCCCAGCACAGTCCATCAATCACCCCGATCACCTGGTGGTTGCAATTGCTGGATGGTTGCAATTGCTGTTTTTAGTCCTGCCTTCCACTGGAGCCAATGGGTGTTGCAGTCCTAACTGGTTCTGTGTGATTATGGTCTTTAACTCTGCTTGAGCTTAGATGCATCTCTAATTTTACTAGAGTCCCTGCTACCCAGGGCAAAGACAACTGTATCTTCCACCCTTGATATGCTTGAATGTGAGTGATAGTGGTAATGATCATTCTGATGATTTAGGTGGTAGTTCTATTTTTAAAACAAAGATGTTTATCTCAATGGGAGAGAAAGAGAGAGGTATCTTCCATTTGATGGTTCACCAAACTAGGTGTTTGAACTCCTGCATGTACTGCATGTGTGATAGGGTAGCAAGCTATGAAAATACCATCTTTTTCATTCCAGGAAGTTGTTAGCATAAAGCTAGATCAGAAGTGTGGTCAGGTGGATTTGAAACAGAATTCTGACTGGTGGTATGTGCTTACTAAAGTTAAGCCCCTGAGCCTCAATGCCTGCCTCTGGATGTGGTCCAGGAATTGTTTGGCTTTCTGCTGTTTTGCTTGACATGTGCTTTCTCAACACTTCCTGCTGCATGTGTGGCTCAAGAATGACAAGTAGGTGCTGGTTTTAATTGTCCTTGTATTTTTCTCCACAGAATCTTTGAGGCGTACAGCATGGATGTGGTCACTGGAACATCATTTGGAGTGAAGTTTGATTCTCTTAGAAACCCAGATGATCCTTTCTTAAAAAACATCAGGAGGCTATTAAATCTTAATTTCTTTAGTCCTTTACTTTTCTCAGTCAGTAAGTATTGCACCATTTCTTCCTCTTTTTAAAATATGTCTTTGAGAAGTAATTCAGAAGCAACAATGTACACATTTTAAATGTACAGTTGTCATCATTATTGCCAATTCTAGAATATTTTTGTCACTCCAGCAATTCTGTACCTTCTCGCATCACTCCTTGCCCCTGTACCACTAATCTTTTATCTCCACAAAGTGACTATTTCTTAAATTGTATTCAAATGGAATTGTGTAATACATGTTCCTTTGTGATTGGCTTATTTCAATAATTGTTAGGTTCTTAATGATTTTCTATGTTGATGTGTGTGTCATAACATCATTTCCACGTAGCAGCAAGTATCATTATTCCATTATGTAACTTTACATTTTTTTATCAATGGATTCATTAGTTGTGGGGCATTGGAATTGTTATTGTGTTGGCTTGTAAACTGTGTTCATTCTCTGAAAATATATGCTAAATTTGTGATTTTATATCCACTTCAATCTTTTGAATATAAGTTCAGTAGTAGGATTTGTGGCAATAATTCTATTTAGCTATTAAGGTAACTTTCAAGGGTTTTCCATAATACCTGTATAATTTTGCTTTCTCACCTAGAGTATGTAAGGTTCCAACTTTTTCTCTTCCTTGCCGGTGCTTGACTCTTCCATCTTTTTCATCATTTACCTCTCTAGTGAAGAGAATTCATAGCCCGTGTTGGTTTAAATGTTCATCCTCAAATTGATAATCACATTAACCATCATTACCATTTTCATGCCTTCTCTCAATAATTGTCTACTCAATTTCCAATGCCATACTAATTGAATTATTTTTTCCTGTGTTTTTGACCTGCAAGAAATCTTTCTTTTTAGATAAATCTCTTTACAGATAAATTGCTTGTAAGATTTCTCCTGATTTTTATCTTTTACCACTCTTGACAGCTTCTGCGTTAGTGTGAATCATTTTTTGTTTATTCCAGTATTATTTATTACTTTTTTTAAGATTTATTTTTATTGTTTTTTTTATTGGAAACACGGATATACAAAGAGGAGAGACAGAGAGGAGGATCTTCCGTCCGATGATTCACTCCCAAAGTGAGCGCAACGGCCGATGCTATGCCAGTCCAAAGCCTGCAGCCTCTTCTGGACTCCCACGCTGGTGCAGGGTCCCAAAGCTTTGGGCCATCCCAGACTGCTTTCCCGGGCCACAGGCAGGGAGCTGGATGGGAAGTGGGGCCGCTGGGATAGAACCGGTGCCCATATGGGATCCTGGGCATGCAAAGCAAAGACCTTAACCAAAGCGCCATTGGGCCGGGCCCAGTATTATTTATTTCTAAGTAATTTTTATCTTACAATACAATTCCATAGACTCTTTAATTTCTTTTACCCCTCTTCTTAGACATGCCTTGATCCTGCAGGTACAGAAGTAGCAAAGGGTGCACCATCCTACTTTTTCCTGTTCTCTGGGTACCTTTTAGGTATATACATAGTAGCTGTATAAGTGCAAATGATTAACTTTGGTGATGTACAATTTATGTATTTCCCTTAATTGTTTGAGATTTGGGTATCAATTCTAGGCATCCATTTCCAAGTCTGAAGCCATTCACTCAGCCCTCATGGCTTTTATGGTAGAATCGCAAACTTTTATATCTGCTGTTGATGCATTTAAGGGTTTAAAGATTTATTTACTTTGATTGGAATGGCAGAGTTACAGAGACGGTGATGAAGTTGGGTGTAGAGGTGAGGATGAGGGATTGAGAAATTTTCATCTCTGTTGTGGCTTATTCCCCAAATTGCCTCAACGCTGAGTGCAGGGCAAAGCCAAATCCAGGAGTAGGAGCTCCATGAATGTCTTGAAATTGTGCAGTGCTCTGAGAACTTGTGCCATTTTCTGCTGCATGTCCAAGGTACATTAGCAGGAGCCTAGATGGGAATTGGCTCAGCCAGGACTTGAACCAGAACCCATATGAAATGCCTCTGCTGCAGAAAATGATTTAATTACTCACAACACAGTGCCAGTCCTTGGAGTTAGCTTTGTACACAATGATAAATAAGGGTCTGACTCTTTTCTTTTGGTCTGTCTCTATCCAATTGTACCAGCACTAAATATTGAACTGAATGGCCCCCTCTCTTATATGGAAATAAACCATTCACATTATTCATTGTAAAAATGGAAATAATGTTTACTTCTGGACTCTACTTCTGTTATTTTGATCTCTGTCTTTACAGAAGGCCACCTCCCATTTGCTGTGGTCTAATAGCTTTCTGTATGTTGAAACTGGGAGTTATGAGAGTGATTTTCCATCTGCCGATTCCTTCTTCAAATAGCCATAACATCTGGAGTTGAGCTCATCTGAAGCCAGTAGTCAACATCCTTTTCTGGCTGTTGCAGAGATTCATTTATTTATTTGAAAGTCAGATTTACAGAGAGGAGGAGAGATAGACAGTAAGATTGTCCATGCACTGGTCCACTACCCAAGCAGCCATAACAGCAGGAGCTGAACCGATCCAAAGCCAGGAGCCAGGAGCTTCTTCCCTGGATTGCCTTGCAGGCACAGGGTCCCAAGGCATTGGACCACCTCTACTGCCTTCCCTGGCCACAAGCAAGAATGAGTAGAGGAGTAGCAGGAATACAAACTGGTAGCCATATGGGATCCTAGCTTATGGAAGGCAAGGATGTTAGACCATGGGTTATTCTGCCAGACCCTGATTCAGTCATTTAATCAGCAGACAGATTATTGGTCAGGTTGCCACTGCACCGGCCTTGATATCTAATATTATTAGCAGAGTAATGTTAGGCTCAGAGTATGAATCTGGAAGTTTATATTCTTCCAAATATTTTAATTAATTCATTTATGATACAGTTCTATTATTTCTGGAATTTCCCCTCCCACCTCCTAAATCACCTTCCCTTCATTAATATCCCTTTCAGTATTACAAGAGTATGTTCCATCATACACAGTCCATGATTTTGTTTTTTTAGTGTATGGACAATGGCAGACAGCCATCATCCTGTGTTAAGATATATTTAAGTTTCATTGGAAGTTCATTTCTAAGTTGAAAGTAGGGTTGCATACTGCATTGCATCTTCACTCCTGTTCATGACAGTCTGTATGGCTTTTCATTAAATATGCCCTTAATGAAAAGTCATAGAAAAATGAAGAACAGGAGAAATAGAGAAAATATACACCATGAAGTTAAATAACATGTTACTGAATGACCAATGTGAAACTGAAGAAATGAAAAAGGAAATTAAAAGTTTCTTCAAGAAACTATGCTACTGTGTGGCCTATGTGGCCTACTGAATAAATCTGTAGAAAAAAAAAAACTTAAAAAAAAAGGAAAATAAAAAATTTTACAACTCATGATATGTGGCCAAACAACATTGAAATGGATATTTATAACATGAGATGATTACAAAGCAATCAAGAATTTCAAAGAAATGACCTGATAATGCAATTTGAAGTACTATTAAAACAGAAAAAGTGAACAGAAAACAGGAAATGATAAAAAAGAAAAAACACATCAAAATGAATTGAAATTTAAAAACTATACATTGCAACAGGGATGAGCAGTTTTTATTATTATTTTTAAGAAAAAGTTTTTGGTGATGTTTATAATTCAATTGAAGTAGAAAAGGTGTAGGATCAAGGGAAAATGGGTGAAACCATTGTGTCCTCATTTTCCTCTCCTTCTTCCTGTATATGGGGAAGGAGAGACTACAGGGAGAAGCCACACGCAGCCTCCAAAACACCTCAGTACTCAAGGAATAGGGCATGGCACCCGATGTCATTGCAAAGTCCTTGAATTGGAGCATGCCTCATTGGTTCTGGTCAAGAGATTTCAACAGTTCTAGAATACTGTTGATCTCACAGATGCAAGGATGAGGATATCTTTCCAAGGTTCATTGGTTGGCACAGTCCACCTCTAAGTTCCCACTGGCTCTGATATGTGCTGTCATGCTTCACTGGGGTAGTTGACCAGTTTGTTCTGCCTTCTTTCCTCTGCTGTGGTACCAGGTGTCCTCTATAGCATCCAATGACCTGACCTACCCTCCATGTGCTTCTGGATATGCTGTCCGTTGCTCTGTCAAAGCCACTGAGGAGGCCCAATTGGACACATGCACTCCATTGACAGACCACTGATACTGCCACTCTCCCCATGGTTGGAGTTATGAGTCTCCAGTTTTGCTCTGGGATCCTGGAAGCACTCTTATCCCATGTGGTATCAGACCTGTCTCTTCTGTGTGTGCCCACTTATATGGGGTACAGATTGTTCTTTCTTTCATATCATCCTATGTTTGGACTGATAATTGCAATTACTAGGTCAGATCCTCCTCGAGCCCCTTTATTTTTTAGTTTTATTTGATTATTTATATGCTTTATTTTTATTATTATCACCATTATATGAAACAGTTCCATCAACCCTGGGATTTTCATTATCCCATTCTCTAATTTCACCCCACTCACTGAGGTCTCCCAAAACATTGCAACAGTATAGTTCATAACAGACTATCACAAATCCCTCATTGTGGGAATGGACAGAATCCTATTATCAAGACACATTTTCAACAGTTCCACTGGGAGTGCATTCTCGATCCAGAAGTAGATTTGCATACCGCACTCCATCCTCACATCTGAACATGTTATTCTCCACTGCACAGTTAGTGTAAATCCCCCAAAGTGAAGGGCACAAAACAAAATCAACTACAGAAAGAAAAGAAGAAATTAAAAACACCATGAAGTTAAGTAGCATGGTACTGCGTGAGTAATGTATTAATAAAGAGTTTAATAAAAGGAAATAAAAAATCATCATGAAGAAAATGATACTACTGTATGACCTGACTCAGTGAAAATCAATGAGGAAAAAAATGTGTTTTGAAGAAAGGAAACTACATCATCAAAATCCATGAGCTCTTGTTTCCACTGATTTTTGTTGGCGAGATATATCTCCTGTAGGTAACAAATAGATGGGTTTTGTCTTTTTAATCCAGTCTACTTGTCTATGACATTTGATTGATGAGTT